GGGTTTAAGGAACTGGGGGGCTGTGTGTGGGGAAAGCAGCATTCATTTCAAATCACCCAACCTTGAAAAATGGCCAGCTTTATTCAGGAAATAACTAAAGCAAATTAGATGTAGGCAAGCCAAAATGTTTTGCATGCTTGGGAAAAAGCCACTTCTGAATAACAAGGGCTAGTAATGAGTTGGTAAGGATTTCTGTTTTCTTTTCAAAGAGAGACTCCTTTGAAAAGCTGAGGGTATGGATCGCCTTAAGTATACACAGTCACAAAATTTGAGGTAAAAAGATGGTATCCTATTATTGACAGAACTTCTGACAGAGTTCCAGTGGTGCAGCGATTAAGCACTTGGCTTAAAATGAAAAGATCGGTGGTTAAACCCCACCAGCTGTTCTGCAGGAGAAATATCAGACAGCTGACTTGTGTGAAGATTTACAGCTCTGAAAACACTATGAGGCAGCTGCTTTCTTCCATCAAAATCGACTCGGTGGCGATGGATGTGGTTCATACCTTCTGAAATCTAGCCTGAGTCAGAAACCCTAAATTTTAGAGGGATAACTTCAGGTTAAAGAGGTGTGGGGTGTGAGTTTGAAGATAATATTTTTGAGAACCTTACGCAACCTACGAGCCACATATATCTCCTCTCATGCAATTAAGTGCCTCTGAAAACCCACTGAAGGGTCACCTATGGGTCGGTTCTGATTTGACAGCAAGCAACAACAATATAACTTAAAATTTTCTAGTTGTTGTTATGTGTTCTTGAGTCGGAACCAACTCATAGCTGAGCCTCTAGTGGGTTTTCAGAGGCTGTAAGTTGCATGGGAGGATACTGTCCATCTTTCTCCAAAGAAGCAGCTGGTGGACTTGAACCACAAGCTTCTGGGTTAGCAGTGCAACTCCTTACCACTAAGGAATCAAAGCTCCTTACCAGGATGTGGAAATGGAAAATGTGTGACAGTTTTCAAAATGCTAAGTGTACTACCTCTACTCCTGGGTATGCCAAGTTCAAAGCAGAGCTCAGATACTTGTTTTGTTGTATACTATGGAGTTGAAACCGACCTACCGCTTCCCCTCCAGCAGGTTTTAGAGACAGGAAATCACACAGGAGGAGATTGCCCATTTCGCTCTCACATAACAACTGGGGGATTTGAACTGTGTACCTTTGCACTGGCAGCACCACTCCATACCCACTGAGCCACCAGAGTTCCCTTATGCAGATACTTGTACATCAACATATTCTGCGGCATTATTTACAGCCAAAAAGGTAAAAAAACAGTACTATTAATAAAGTGTAGGACGTATAGTAGTACGTCTAGAACTGCAGTGTTGTAGTATGTCTATGTAGAAGGTATGGAATAAAATGTAGGACAAGGAAAGCTGGAATTTGACAGGACTGCCTTGTTTTTCCAGATTTCAGAAGTTTTCCACCTTTGATAAGGTGTCAATTTACCACTTTATTGCTTATTTTAGTGGTTGTTGTTATCATCAGAGCTGACCCTGGCCGGGGGGTGGGGGTTCAGAGGCAGTTAATTGCCTATTCTTCTGCTCTTCCAACTGTCTTTGGATTACAGCACAGCTTCTTACCCCTGGGCCACCAGTGCTCCCCGTTTAGTGGAAATACAGAGAAACCTGAGACAGCTGGAAGCTGTGTAAAGCAAGTACCTGTCAAAAAAGGAAAACAAAAATATTTTGCACTGGATCAAACTAGAGTTAAGTGTTAATGTGCACCCTGTCCAAGGTGGAAAAGCTGTGATATCCAGAAACACAAGACAACCCCACCAGCTTCCAGTGCTCCCAGATTTCACTGCATTTGAACTCTCTGCTGACACGTCTGCCTTACACATATTCAGGCTCTCACTTTATACGCATATACGCTGCCCAATGTCCAGGACTATGTTCTGTGAAATAGGGTTTTATGTAACTTGTCTGCTGTGTGAATATTGTATTAAAATGTCGTGGAAGCCCGCTTCTGCCCAACTTGATTGCTGCTGCTGCTGCTGCTGCCAGTGTCCGAGGGGCCAGCGGAGAACACAGGAGCAGTGAAACAGAACAAGTGGGAGGGATCCTGTGAACTCTGCCCAAGCCACTGTTCACCCGAGTAGAAGAAGCAGCCACCACCGCCACCGGCTGGAACACCAGACAAAGTCCAGGAACCTGCACCCTGAGTCTTCTGCCTCACCTGCTTACATTTCACCTAGACTCCTGTGAGCTTGGGTTTCAGGTCTTTAAAACCATTGTTCTGTTGTTATGTACCACTGAACTGGAACTGATCCACAGCTGACGCTATAGTAGGTATTCAGAAGCAGTAAAGTGCATAGGGAGAGACTGCCCCTATTTCTCCCACAAAGCAGCTGGTGGATTTGAACAGTGTGCCTTTGGGCTGGCAGCATACTCCTTACCACTAGGCCACCATCAATCCTGTGTACAGCAGAACAAAACCTACTATCGCAATTTTTCAATTGTGGGCTCACTATATTTGAGTCCCTTGTTCCAGTCACAGTGTCAATTCATCTTGTTAAGGATCCTCCTCTTTTTCAGACTTTTTCTACTAAGCAGACTCTCAGACTGGTCCCTGCTGATAATATAGATTATTAAAACCATTAAGGGTAAATGAGAAACAGAAAGCTGCTTTCCCTTTATAATAAGCTAATA